ATATTATTGTATATAAAAAGTCTAAGATATGTTACTTTTTAAAAATGTATTATATAGTTTGCTAATTTTAAGCCGTTCTGTCATCATATTATATTTTTGAAATAAATATTTTGTATTTATGAAAATAAAATTTATTAATTTATTAATTTTAATATAATTTTAGAATATTTAGTTCAATATAATAACTATCTTTTAACATGATGATTATGACTATAAAATAAATAAAATAGGATGTAATTTAAATTTTTCATTTTATAAACGATAACTTAAAATACATTAAGTTATTTTAAAAATATTTTACACAGATTTACTAGAATTTTTAAAATTTAATTAGTATATATATATATATATTTAAAATGAAAAAGATATCATGATTAAGGTATTTACAAAGATTTTATATTATTAGTTTTAATGAAATACATGTTAATTTATATACATGTATTATATAGTTTGCTAATGTTAAACCGTCTTATCAACATATTAGATTTTACTTTTTGAACAGAAATATTTTTATACTTATGAAAATAAAATATATAAATTTATCAATTTAATATAATGTTATTATATTTATCTTAATATAATAAATTTTCTTTTTATTTTCATTTTATAAATTTAAAATGAATATATTAATATATAATAATATTTCAAACTATTTTCGAAATTAATGAAAATATTTAATGATAATAACGAAAATGAAATCTTTTAAAACAGATTCATGAGAAATTTTAAATAAATGTATTTATATTTAAAACGAAAAGATATCAAAAGATATTATGATTAAGGTATTTGAAAGATTCTATATATTCTTACCTCTATTCGAAAATGCGGGCAAGGTGACCGCGTTCTCGGCGTGGAGGCGCTTGGTGGTAAAAAAATGTCGGAGACGACAAAGAAACTCATATTTTCTTCACTTTTAATGATTAAAATCAATTTCTACATGATATATCCATCAGATCTTGATATAAGCACTAGATAGCACAAGAAATTCGAATAGAAAGGTGAAGAAAATGAAGAGCGGCAGATTTAGGGTTTGGAGAAGTCAAAGAGAGAAGATGAGGATATTATGGTAATTGGACTTGGTTAATAAACAAATTTCAAAAAATTAAAGTTTTGCACGCACAGGGAGTTCAACCTAGGTTCTTAAAGGAAGCAATCACACTTTCACCGCTACACAAACCCGTTTCTTTTTGTTTTTCATTGTACAAGTATTATATATACTATATAAATATATTGAAATTATTAAAAATTGATATCCGATTAATCTACGATTAGTCTCCAATTTTTTAGCAACTCTTTAGGCGGTGATCGAACGCCTGACTAGCGCCTAGCATGTTTCATAACAAATATTATTAGCTTTAATAGAGTACATTTAATAAAAATTTTAAATGATGGTTCAAATTTAAAAAAAAAATCACAAACGAAGTGAAGTCATGACTTTTGTTTTAATATATAAGATTATCGCTGCTTTATAAGCTACTGAGACTTAGAAAGCCGATTAAAACGTGTAAAACTGTAAATGTATTCGTTGTACTATGCAAAAAGTTGTAACAAACATTAACGTTCAACGCTACATAAATGCAACTCATTTAAGAAAAACTAGAGTTTTCACCCGTGCGCCCGCACGGGTATTATTTTTGGTTTTATAATTGGATATTTAGAAAATAAAAGTCTTGCTATTTACATGTAATTTTGTTTATGGTAACTATATATTGTTAGTTAAAATATTTTGTTTAGTGACAACTGTTTTTATTTTAAATTTAAAATAGTTTGAAATATAAACCAATCTGTGTATAGTTCATATGAAATGGTTATACTGTAAATACATGTATAAAAGACATGTTATAAAAAATTGATCATATTCTGGCCTTGGTTGTACATATTATAATACTATAGAACCAGATTAATTTCACAGAAGATGTATATCGGTTTGGTATGGTAACTTTGGTTAGGTATATTACATGAAAACCAGTGATGACAACAAAAAATTAAGAAACATGAAAAACGGTTTGAGATAGTGTTGATCTAGGCGTTTTCCACATGATTATAATATTAAGGTTAGTAACATGATAACTGAAAAAGAAAAGATTAGTTAAGGAATATGCAAAATATTAAACGAATTTGGATATTGTACTTGTGGTATGGTATCACTTTGGTTAATTTCATACCTATAAAATAAGACTTGTATTTCGAATCAGAATTGTCCCACGTAATGATAATAGTGATAATTTTAAGTATCATATTAAAAGGAGGCAATTCAGTTGATCAACCAATAGAATTGATTTGGTTTGTTAAAGTTGTTAAAGCAGCGGTTTATTTGAAATGGTATAAATGTAGCTATTGGTTAACTTTAAATTAAATTTAGGTGGTTTAATTTAAGTGTAAAATATGGTTTAGCTCAATGGCATAGATTTGTAATATTTAAACTGAAGTGAGGGTTAATTTTAAGTTGCACTTCAGTTTTAATATATTAGACTAGATTTTGAAACCGCACATCCGTGCGGGTATTTTTTTCATTTTATTAAAATATAATAAAACCTTTCAAATATATATGATTTACATTCTATTGTTATATATTGTACTCCCTCCGTTTCATTTTAATTGTCATTCTACGTTTTTGCACACAGATTAAAGAAACATTTAATTTTACATATTTTCAAGAAAAAAACACAATTACCTATACACCTAACTACTTTTCAGCCAATAGAAAAATAGAATATTATATAAAACTAATAAATTTTATCTCAAAACTCTAAAACGACACTTATTTTGAAACAAATTTTTTCCTCCAGAATGACAATTAATTCGAAACAGAGAGAGTATAATTTTATAATCTTATAATTTTAATTATTTTTATATAGTATATTGTTGTAAGTTTTAAAATAAAAAAATATTTATATATATTTTTTATATAATGTATTTGTTGTGAGTTACAAAAATATATGTTAACATTTTTGTATAGAAATATTATATGATTTAAAAACTTTAATATGCTTTAAAAGTGAGTGATATTTATTTATTTATTTGGATAAAAGAAAATTTTGAAAATAAAATATTTTCCTTTACCAATTTAATATAGTTTATATTCATTTCACATAGCATTTTGTTTTAATATAATGTAGAATATAACTAAATTATGAAATATAAAAATTTTTATTTTTAATTAAAATTAATATCGATATTTATATATATATATATATATATATATATATATATATATTAATCACGAAATTAAATAATGCATATTTTATAAAAATATTTAAACTTCTTAGTAAGATCTTGTTAGATATTTTCTGAACAAATTTATTACTAATATCTTATTATTATTAAAATATTGCTCCAATTATATATATTTGATTGATTAATATAAATACTTAAATATGTCATATTAATGAGATGGTCTAACATAACTTTTTGTAGTAGATATAAATGGTAGTTTTCTTTTAATAGAGAAGATATAACTGAGTTTATCTATAATAAATTTGTTTTATCTTTAATATTGTGGAACAAACAATTACATAGCTAAAGCTAAGCTGATGATTGTTTGTAGTTTTTGAATTAGTTTTTGTTTTTTTTTTCTTTCAAAAACTTGTTTTTACCCAATCAAGATTTTAGTTTTTGTAAAAATAATTTTTTTGCCAATCAAGTTTTTTAGTAAATAGATTCCATAAAGTTTAGGAAAACTGGTTTTTGAAAATTTTAATCAATTTATAAAGAGAAACCAAAAACTCATTTTTGTTGGTTTTTAGTAATAAAAACGAAAATTTTTTTTATTAGAATTACATTTTAATTAGCTAATAATTAAATACTAATAATTTATAAAGATAAAAGTCTAATAAAATTTTGGTACAAAAGATAACATTTAAGCAATAATGTGTAATCATTTATTTATGTTACATGTCAAAATAACTTTTAATACATATATAATATTAAATAATTGAAATTGGTTATTCATTTCTATACATAAAATTATTTAATAATTTTAATAATTATTACACTTATTAATAAAATATATTATATTAATTTGAAAATAAAAAAATACCATTCAATTTTTATAATTTATATTATATACAACAAATTTTATGAATAATTTCCATATTTTAAATGTTGTATAATTCATACTTATTTTATGATTTACAAATTAGTATAATGTATAAGTTTCTTAAAAATATAATAATGAAAACATGTTAATGTATTTTGTATTATTAAATAATAATCCTTATATTTTAATAGTAGCTTTTATTTTTTTCTTTCTATTTTTGTTGTATTATTTTAAAATAATGTATTACTTGTTTTTGAAAAAATTTAACAACTACAGCAAAACCAAAAACCAAAATCAAAATCTAATAACAAAAACCAAATACTGAAAACCAAAAATAGAAAGCTAAAATCAAAAACCAAAAACAAAAACCTAAAACCAAAATCTAAAAACTAAAAACTAAAACTAAAAACTAGCGCAAACAATCATCACCTAAATATAACTCAGAACATTCTACCCTTCCCACGTTTGAGGGCAATATATACATGTATAAACATCTTATGATGGTATGAGTACTACTCTAAACAAAAATTCATTTGTTGTAAGCTAAAACAAATATATTCATGTTTTTGGGGGTAAAAGTCACACATATATTCATGTTCTTTATCGACAGTAAGCATTTGTGGTAACAGAACTAAAAATGATTTTTTAAAAAACAAAAAGAAAATCCAAAACAAAAATAAGGGAAAATACAAACAAATATTAATAAAATTTAACATGTAAAAAGTATTATTTCAAAGTCGCCCTAGTAGAACTCTCTCTGGCACACTTCCCTAGGAAAGCCGCCTCCATGGATATCCTCCGCAGCTCCCGTTCGCTTGCTCAGCATTGAAGCATTTACTCTCTTCCATGGCGCCGGTGCTCTCTTCTCCTCCATCGTGTCTCCGTCCTCCGGCTCGTTTTCGTCCTCCTCCCGAGCCACCGCCGCGTTGGTTCTCTTGTGCCGCTTGAAGCTCTCTCTACGATGAAACCACCAGAACCACCGGATCCTCCCGACGCACTCACCGATCTCGGGTTTCTTGTACTGTCCGACACACCTTTAACCCTGTTTAATAAATCGCCTTCTCAAATTCCAGATCTGGCGTACCCTTTACCGGCTCCGACGGCTTTGACCAGGGATGGTGTTGTTCTCCATGTGACCACTTGTCCCCCACCAGATCCACCTCCGTGCATAAATCCTCCAAGTGACACTTTCTTAGCCAAGAACGGTGTTGGTGGTGGTTCCCCCGTGTCAACGAGTGACACTTTCTTAGCCTACGGGCTTCTCTCTCCTGTGATATACATGTCCCTAGTTGGGAATATCGATTGGCTTTCAACCAGGTCCTTTAACCTTTCTACCGATCCTCTTTTTAAGGTCCTTCATGGTAAACTTAGCTCTCTAATTTCCATGTATGTTGAATGGTTTAGGCAGCTAAGTGTGTTGTTGACATTGAGTTTGCGATTCATAACTCTTGCTGGTGGTATACCGATGTGTTTAATGTTATATGGCTCTACTCTTATGACCTTGAGTAGTATTTATATCGCATTGGCGAGATCCTCTGCAGTATGCAGTCCCCTTACGGGCTATATGCCGGTTGTTGATATTGGTTCTAATATCCCTTCCACCTTTGCCGCAATGGCTTTGGCAATGATAAGGCATTCTCTCCTCTTGTGGCAGCTTGGATTGAAAGGTCTTAAGTTATGTACCCTCCCAACAAATCCGGTGTGTTTGGGCTTTAATTGCCTTCCTTTCTCCTTTAAGGAGTGTCTTTTCCCCTCATTACTATCACTTGTTATTAGTGAAATTGTTACAGGGAGCTTTGTTTTGAAGATGGTTCTGTTCCAAGCAGAAGCGAAGATGTTTATCATCTCTCGTTTCGATGGTGTCAACTGTCTGACCTCTTCGACCATGGAGGTTCTCATCCCTTCCCTTTACTGTTTCGTTCAGGAATGTCAAACTGAAGATGTCTTCTTGTGTGACTGCCCAGTATCGGAGACAACGGTGATTGAGCGTGCGATATCACCTCTATCCTTAAGCTTTTATTTGAGTATCTGTTGTTTTAGCTTTCTCCTTTGTTTGTCCAGTGTAGGCATGTTCAATCTGGTGTTCGGTCCGGTTTCGGTTCATTTTTTTCGGTTTTCGGTTTATAAAAATTAGCTACCATATTGGAACCATATTTAATTTGGTTTGGTTCGGTATTTATACTACTGGTTTTCAGTTAATCGGTTTTATACCAAATAACATTATTATTTGATTTGGTTTCATATTATATGAATTTAAAAAAAAACATAATTGTCAAAACTATCATTTATTAAAATATTACTAGGTGTTCATAAATATAAAAATGTGAAATTAACAACAAACAAAACGACCAATGATTCAGTTTTGTACAGTTTTTCTTATTTTCTCTTTGTTCTTCCAAATAAAGTACATGGTACAATCTAATTTCACAATTTATTACAACATGCAAAATCAAATCAAATTTAGATAATAATTAAGAAAATAAAATAAAATTATTAAGATATATCTTCACAAGGAATGAATTTTTTTTTTAAAAAGACTATTCCAAGAAAATAAATGGTTATATAATGTATATATTTATATATTTTTTCTTTAATCGGTTTTGTTCGGTTTATTCGGTTTATTCGGTTCAATCGGTTATAAACCTAACCATATCCAAATCTTACGGTTTTTATAAAATCATATTCATTCGGTTTATATGGTATATACCAAATCCAAACCATATTCTCTATTTCGGTTCGGTTCGGTTCGGTTCGGTACGGTTCGGTATTACCATATTAAACAGTCCTAGTCCAGTGTATTGGATTATGCTTTGCTTGTTTGGTTCCTTGTAGCCCTGTTGTATCCTCCTCGGATGGAGTGGAACTAAGTTAAATTTCAATGGAAGTTTGTTTGTTAAAAAAGAAAAACAAAAATAAGGGGATGGGAAAAAGTAAATCACGAGAAGAACAAGCGGTGTCTGAGATTTGTACAATGTTAATAGTGACTTCTCACTACCACATTTCATATCTTTTTTTTGACATCCATTTCATATCTATCTTTCAGAAAATTAAAAAAAGATCCTTATCATCTTTTTTTTTCGTTCTTATAAATGCATTCTGTTGGTAGCCTTTAAAAACCAATTTCAATACAATATCAAAACACCTAATTTAATGTATTTTTTTTTTAATTTGATGTAATTTCAGCTCTAATAAAGTATTAAAAATAACATTATCTCTTCATATTTAGTGTAAGATGAATAATATTTTTTTTTTTATCATCAACATAATGAACATAGATTCGTGTAGACTCTCACAAAAATATCATTTTCTTTCTAGCATTACATGCAAGACTGTCCATCCTTCTGTTATGCATCTGAAATATATGAATGATTTCTGAGCTATGAAAACTTTCCTTCAGGATCTTGTTATCTTCTACAACTTACAAAAATTCATCTGGTTCTGAAACTATATTTATCAATTGACAACAATTCATTGCATAAGTAACATTAAATTGACGTACATTTCCCAACATTCTATTGCCCACATTAGCGCCTCTATTTCCGAATGAAGAGGTGTTTGACTAATACTAGAATTTCTTACCTCAATTAAACCATCAAAACCAGCCAGAATGTTTAAATAATATTATACTAAATTTGATGTAATATTATTCATCACACAAAATATTTAATATATATATATATATATATTATGTTTCATTTAAAATAGTATGATTATTATTATTAATTAGGTCAAATTTATAACTAAACATAGATATTGTATTTTTTTTGTATTTTAAAATTATTTTACAAAAAAAATATATCACTAAATAATTATTATCATCATTTATTTTAATATTATAAAAAATACCATAGAATTTTTTATATTTAATTTTTAAATAAACAAATTTATTTTTTGTGCTTTTTATAATTAATAGTTTTGTAATTTTGAATATACTTAATATTTTATATAAAATAAATGCACAAAGTATAATATTGTTAAACCGAAAAATATAAACATAAATAAATTTTATATGCATAAAATTACAAGATTTTAACAAATATAATATAACAATTTATACTTTTTGTGAGATAAAATTATGTAACTTTTCCCTGTTAATTACATTATCATAAAATCAATTTCTTTTAAAAAAATAACAGCTAGCAGTAAAGGAAGCATTGATAGACTATTGTTTCGTTTAAGTTTAGTAATTTTGTATATGTTTATCTTTTCCCAATTGATAGACTATTGTTTCGTTTAAGTTTAGTAATTTTGTATATGTTTATCTTTTCCCAACAATATCATTAATCATACCCTTTGTACTGTATATTGATATGTTTGTTCTGTACGTATTTTAAAACAAGTTTCAATCTAGAGGAGAAAATGCTATAGTAATCGTAAAAGAAATCGGACGGTAACCTTTTATTTAGTGGTTAACTAGCTGGAAGACAAGTTAGATGAGTCTTTTGTTTTATCATTTTGATGATACGTAATACTCCACAAATAACCAAAAAACAAAACAAGTTGATTAGATTAAGAGGATGTGTGTGTAAGTGTTGTGTCGTGTTGATTAGATCGAAAAAGGTTTTTGGGTCATAATTAATAACGACGACTTGTCTGCCAGAAACCAACGCCGTACGCTAACTTTCGATCTCCTTCTTCCTACTCTAACCCCCTTTTATTAGTTTCTTGACTAATTATATATCATTACTATAAAGTAAAGTTTACATATAGTATTAGCAGTTTCTTAATAAACTTATTTTAGTGTTAGGTGACCCGTTTAATGTCAGATGTATTGTCTAGCTTTTGCTTATATTCTTTTTTTTCCTGGTTAATTATGCTATTACAAATTATGAGAAACATTATATAGATGATTGTGAGAACCGAAATTCGCACTGTCCATTTTTCATAAAATAAGAAAACTAAGGAAAACTCTACTTTCTCAGAGGTCCTGAATCTCTACGAGAGCCAACGACAAGTAACCAAATAAATGCGAAAAATATGAAAACATGATAAAACGAATTTATAAAGAAAGTATCTTATTACAAATCTGCATAAGAGTTTTGCAATTATTACAAGAGATTACAAAGCTTTGGCCGCAAGAGCTGTCAGGAAGTTATCAAGTTCTAGCAACCTAAACCCTTAAACCTAGTTGAGTCGCACCTCGATAATAAAAGACAAAAAAGATACGAAAAGGGGTTTGGTTGATTTCGGACTGAACCTTATGAAAGGCTGCCTACGTACCTCTTTCGAGGATCAAGCCGAACATAGTTCAATTGATAGAGCTGGTCAAGAGATCGAACTGCATGGGCGAGTTCGTCTAGTAATTGAGTGCCAGTTATAGAAATTGAACTTGTCGAGAATAAAGTCTACAGTTTCTAAGTGCAGAGAGTTCTAAGTCTAGAAAGATTGTAAAACTTATCTTTCTTCTTCTTGGCTTCGACCCTCTCCTTATATACTCGTCTTCTAGGCGGTTTAGTCTTTCCTTTTCCGCCTTGATTCGTGTCTATCAGAAATCTTCCATTTATCTCGATCTTCATATTTATCCTTGGAAAACTTCTATTTATCTCCAAACTTGATATTTATCTCTTCCTGCAAATAACAGATAAACCGTCATCATATCCTTGGACTGGACTTCGTCTAAAATTGTAAGTGGGCCTTTATCGCGTTTAGGACCCTTTGGGCCGTTTTACGATTTCATACGGGATCGTTCCGTGATACGATGCCATTTTTATAAAACATCTCGAGTCAATCGTATAGTTTGGTAACCTCAAGTGTTTCGTTTAACCGTCGCCGTTTTATACGATTTACTAGATTCTTTACGAGAAGACAAGTCTTTAGCGGTTTTCATTGTAAAGTTCCAACGAGAATACAGATCGAGACGAAACAAGAGATGTTCCGATCACTGTTCAGAGTATGATCGAGTCGAAAGGCATATACCTCTTGTTTTGCCGACCAACTATCAATGGTGCGGATGGTACGGCCAGCTCGCCAAGCCGGAAATATTCCATTTCTCGCCAAGACGGCGAGCTCGATGGTCTTGTCCAGCTCGCCGTCTTGGCGAGCTGGACGGTCTTGTCAACACGGCGAGCTGGACGGTCGCCAAGACGGCGAGCTGGACGGTCTTGTCTAGCTCGCCAAGTCGGCTAGCTGGGTCGGTACGGTCAGCTCACCATCTTGACGAGCTGAATGGTCTTGTCCAGCTTGCCAAGCCGGCGAGCTGGATGGTCTTGTCCAGCTCGCCAAGCTGGCAGCTGGGTTTGTACGGCCAGATCGCCATCTTGGCGAGCTGGATGGTCTTTTCTAGCTCGCCAAGCCGGCGAGCTGGACGGTGTTGTCCAGCTCGCTAAGCCGGCGAGCTGGGTCTGTACGGCCAGCTCACCTTCTTGGCGAGCTGGACGGTCTTATTCAGCTCGTAGGTTTCTTGTTTTCTTGATTCGGGATCCTTTCGGAAAACATAAGGAGAAGTAATCGTAGATGTTGATTTCGAGATTACCGTTTTTGACCCCACCATGAGATCTTTTTAATTATTTCATACTTTGATACAAGTTTTCCTTAACTTTGTATTTCCGTAGAATGTCTACAGTTTTCTCGTAAGTTTTTTCCGGGACTTTTAACCCTTGATTTCGTCGTGACCAATTTTGACTCTAATAGTTAGGCCCTAGCTCGTTATCACCATGAGCTTCTAGCGTGAGGTTCTAGCAAGTGGTTAGGAAATTTTAGGCGGAATTAATGGTTGAAAAGTTCCGTTGAAAGTGGTCTTCCCGCTCTTATTGGAATGGAAAGCGGTAGGATTGGGGATGCGCCTAGTGAAGGCTGCGCCCAGTGAAGGCTGCCTACGTACCCTCTTAAAGGGTTCAAGCCTTTCGTAGTTCGTCTTAGAGTTAAGGTTCGTACGACCTGTTTTCCAGTGAGACCTTTACAGTCTAGTTATGCATAGAGATTATCAAACATGGGGATGTCGATGGTGTTTTGTATCAGCCTCGAGACTTGCCTCGTAGGCTGTTTGTTTCGACCACGTGTTGCCATTATATTTTTGGACTGACCGTATGTAGCTTCGAGTTCGTGCCGATTTGCGGCCGTCTTTTAAATTGTGTTTTGCGTTTTAAGAGAAAATTTGTATTCGTATGAATGTGGAGGGAAGAATATGAGTTGTCATCTCATAGTTTAACTCTTTTTTTTGTAGATCGCCCTATTCGTTTGCTCGTTTTAGGATGTTTAGGATCTTGTGAGCATTTAGATATGAACGAAGAGACATGCCTTTAGGATCTCATTTCATGCTTTGAGACGTTAGAGACCAGTGTGCTGGGTTTAGGGTAAGACCTAGGTTTAGTACGGTTTTAAGGATTTGCGATTACTAATCGGCGTTTGTTTTGCTTGTTGGATTTTACCTGATTCCGTACCGATTTAAAGTCCGTAATAGGTTCTCGGCTTATACGACTTGTCTGGTCGGAATCGAGCATCCTTGAAGGTGCCGACCAAAATTTGGATTTCTTTATAGCACTAGTACCCTTGTGCCGGGTGTATGAGAGCTATCTCTGTGAGATAACTTAAGTTTGTTTAGGACTGTTGCGAGTTTGTTGTGATCAGCAACAAACTAAGGTGGTAGATGTTACTGTTTCTTTGACCTTCGTGAAGGATACATATCTTAAGAAGTTTTGTATGTTTTATAGTCGCGGATGGACTGTTGGGTATTCCAAGAAAGTGATTTTACTGAGGCGGGTATTTTTGTCGAAAAACTGTTCTTTAGGCGTTTGCGACGTCTCGCAATGCCGAAGATTGGTTTTAATTCATTTGTCCCGTTTTGTGTTCGAAACGTTTGCGGGCTCGAAGATGTTGCAAGGGTTTTGTCTTAACTCTGCTTTGCAGGAACACTTTGGTTTGTTTGCGG